ACTTGGGGTATTTACTTTTTTAACAAAGTAAAATAATTTCAGATCCCTTAAGTGGTTTTCCAGTTTGTGTTAACATTACCCTCGATGGCAGCCCATCTATATCCCTTTTTTTTCCTACTATAATTCCAAAGCAAACAACACAGAGTGCTTCCCTTAAAGCTCCCATCCATGATCTGAATTCACACACAATGCTACCAGCAGCAAATTCCCCCAAGTGCTCCTGCACATTTCTTTCCTACACCACTGACATTGGTGGCTACAACAGAATCTCAACAAGCATTTCTTGATTTGAAGAACAGATTTTTTTTCACAAGGTGCATGATTCAAAGAAGCCTTGCACAAACACTTTGTTAGGGTTACTGTGATTTAATCTTCCTCCTGCCTAACTACAGGTGAAGAAAAACAGAGCTTGTAGCACACAGTGACGATCAATAAATTGTATGCTGTCAAACAAGGAGGAAAAGTTCTTACACATATTTAAAATATCAGGAATATCTGGAAATAAATTAGGTATTAGAGAGTCAAATGCAAAATGAAAAGAGTAATGTACTTCAAAGTTTTACTCTATTAAAGCACTAATGAATATATTAACATGAACACTAACAAAACAGAATCCTTCAAAGTGTTTTAAAAATAACCAACACAGCCCCATTATTGGAAATACTTAAAACACAGTGTTAAATACCTATGGCACAATTTCATAAAACAAAAACAGGGTTCAGAACCCCAATTTTAAAATCTCAGACTATTCTCTTATGGAATGTCCGAATATACAAACACACACATGTACACACACACACTTTTTCACCACAAAGCACAACCCTTTGTTCCCTAATCCCCAGTTGTGTGTTTAATGATCACACATAAAAACTTCCATCAAAAAGCAAAAGCGCAGTTCCAGCACGTTTAATTCTTTGCAAATGAACATCTACATTGCTGAAATGGCATCAGAGTGACAAATGACCATAATCCAATGGCCCAAGGCCAGCAAGTTCTATTCTAACAGATCTGGCAGTTTTGTAGGACACAGCATGTTGTGTGAAATGAGACTGCTCAGTTCACCTACACACAAAACCCCACTTCCCTTCACAAGGATTTTAGCAGCTCCATCAATGCAAAGACCAGTATGTCTGAGCAACTGCCTACAGAAACTGGATTTATTAATAGGTAAATGGCTGGATCCATTCTAAGAAGGCTCCAGATCAGTGCTATAGTCTAGAATGCACAGAATAAATAGCAGTGATTCACAAAACCTGTGGGTTTCAGCCTATTTGCATGCTGCCATATAGTTCCAAATTTAAGTTCTATGTCAGTTTTCCCAGACTTCCTTTTTTTAAGTCAACCAACCCACATTCACCCACTTCACTCAGTGTGGATTCACCATTCACATTTTAGAAAGGCAAATGATCCCTTGTGGCTACCCAAACTCCCAGCTCCAGCTTGAATTCCCAAGATCACAGAATTCCCAAGAAGGAATAACTGCACACTCCATGGGCAAAAGATGAGCCCAGACCCTTCTGAGCAATGAAAAAGAAGTGGGGAGAGACAAATCCAGCTTCTTCAGCCCTTTAAACACAGACACAACCGAGCAGCAGCAGCGAGATGGGGCACTCACACACCTCCCCCCAATCCCACTCCCACAGCCACCCTTTATTTTGTGTTCAGGGTGTTTGTCCCCCACATCTTCAGTGAATTTCACAAACCTGACAGAATCCAACTGCCCCATCCCCAAACGTTTCTTTCTGCCCATGAGGACACTCCAACATTACATATATGTGCACAAGGAACTCATCCAGCTGCATAACAACCATTTTTTGGACATTATTTTCGAGACATCGATTTCCTAATCACCACAAACATCAGGCAAGACACTGCAAAGGCAGCACAGCACAAATGCCTGCAGGCTGCTGCCTTTTTTTTTTTTTTTCTTGTCTTCTAGAAAGAGTCCTGGCTTAAGGAAACACCAAGCTGCAGCCTGGCAGGGAGCAGGCCATAAAAGAGGCAGCTTGCAGTGCAGTGTTGCAGGAGTCAGGTTGCACGCCATGTTCGAGTTCCAGTTCTTCTGGTTGCCAGGCCAGACACAACCTGGGTGAGGATGAGCAGCTTAGGAACTTGTTCAGCTTTTTTTTCTCAGCTCAAACCCAGCCTGGTTTTCACTTCAGCTGGGTTTGGGGCCAGCGTGGTACCTTTAAAATGGCACCGAGCTCATCTGACACCACAGTAATGGTGGAAGAACAAAACAAGCATAAATGATTCATTCTGCTATGGTATCCTTTCTTCTGCTCAACTTGTTTTCACAGGATTTACAAATGATGCCTCTGTATTAATTCTTTCTATGAAAAACAATAGAAAAAGTGGCTAAAACAATTGTTTATACAGTTCCTACAGAGTTTTAGTCTTTCCAAACAGGGAAATAGTTTTTAAGCTGTCTTTTTTATTTTTTTTTTTAAGAGATTTTTAGATGCCCTTGATGACAAGTGGGTTTAACTAGATCAGCTTAACATCTTTAGTGTCATGGAGCAATAGAGCAGGTTCACTTGTAGCTCACCTTAAAAAAAGGACAGATTGTGAATGCAGTCAGCACACACCCAGCAGACCCACACAACCCTGAAACCTCTCATGAGGTGATTATGAAATTGTGACATGGAGCACAGAGGTACAAACAGCAGCAAGAGCTGAACTGTGCTACCAAACACCTCTGTGCTGGCTGAGCTGAGCTGGCACCCAAAATCAATGGGAATATTCGATAGGATGGGGTTTCAGGAGTCATTTGTCACAACGTGCAAACTGACTGATGAAATATTTCTGCCCACTATTCCATGAATCCACCCATGGCAGAAATCTGACTCTGCGTTTTGGCTGGAGGAGCAGCACCATTTTCCTGAAGATGTTTTTTCCCCTGTGTGACAAAAAATGCCTCAGTGATGGTACAGCCAAATTGGAGATATGGAAGAAGAACACACTTCTGTCTACTTCTGCATCATGACATGAACATAATGATTCAATAATCTTATTTATCTTCTACTCAGAACAGGCAACTTTTATCAAAACTTTCTTATTTTTTCTGTAACACTATCATCCTAAACCAAAAAGGAAACACCTTACACATGTAAAACTGCATCCCTGAGCTTATCTTCAGGATTTCATCCCACAGGCTCCAAGACATTGTTACCTTAATTCAGCATCTCAGCACTGCTCTGGAAGATGTGCTCACATAAATCCCACACAGCATCTCAATAAACTGGTTACATTCGAAAAAAACCCAAAAACAGGTTGTGTTTAGTAACATGAACAAAGCATTAGGTAAACAATATTTTATAAATGTGCTTCCAAAATATATATGTTCCATGTTCCATATGCAAACTATCTAATACAAATAATATATTACAACTTCAGCAGCAACTTCACAAGACCTAAAATCCACCTTTACCTACAGAGGGGGATGATTTAAAGTAGTCTGTGCTCAAATTGCTACTAAAGATGAATTTACAGCACAGTTTTTATTTCAGCAATGGAGCACTTCACCATGAACTAAATCACCAGCATAACTTATTTTTTTGTTTTAAAGTACACCAACATAATTATGTACAGACCAAACCAAATCCTTAACTCCTCTAAATCATTTTAAAAGTCGCATTTTAAACACCAAACTCGTTAAACTGACCACATGCACGGCTGAGGGGGGAGAAAGCAGGCAGTGAAACAACTCTTGAGCTGGACACTGAATGCTTCTGATGTATCTGCATTCCAAAATTCATTCACTGGGACAGTAAAAAAAGTGAGTGAGATTCCTTCACTTTGAAATAAAACTTGAGGGACACAAAATTTTAAAATGAGTCGTAAATTTGAAGCAAACTCCAGACACTGCAGCTGCCTTAAGAACACCCACATTAACAAAAGCTCTCCCGTTTTTCTCTCAGACATAAATAAATCAAGCTGGACAAGGAATGTCGGTATAGTTTTCACGAATTAAGAACTTTAAAAATGGAAATAACAGTGCCACCAGTGCACGTCTTCATTTGATGTGTAACTTAAGTTCATTGAGAAGAAAAAAGACCAAATCTATAGGACTTATAGTAAAGCATCATCCTGTTCAAAATGACTTTGTATGAAACGTGCTTTCTATGACAGAAGACACAGATCCTTAACAAAATTACTTTTAACGCTACCACACTTTTCTAAACTTTATTGTTTGCTAAACAACAAAGCTGCTCTAAGTCTTGCAAATAAAACGCTCCAGAGCTCCACACGCTTCTCCTGACACTCCTGCTTTCAAACTCTTTGGGAGAAAAACCTTAAGGGAAAGAAACAGCGAAGCGAACCCATTCAATCATTCGCTCTAAGCACACACCGGATTAGCCCAGGAACCGAGCTGTAAACTTCCAGCGCAAAACCACCACGACTGCAGTTTTTTTTCCACTCGGTGCACAAATCTCCGGGGCTGGTTCAGCCAGTGGGATCCGGGGAATCCGCACACGCATCCCCGGGCACGGCGATCTTGCAACACTCAGCCCTTTGCACCCCGATGCGCCGGGCTTTAGCGAGTGTTTGGGCGGGGGGGAGGGGGGAGGATTAGTTTACAAATCTCCTTATTCCCTTCTCGTTATAGAATCGTTTCTGCCTCTCCCCCCCTTCCAAAAAAATTCAAAAGAGCGGCCGGAGCGATGGGCTCTGTCCGAGGCACGCTCGGCCGGGGGCTCAGCAGCGGCTCCCCCCGCCCCGGGCCCCGGCGTGGGGACACCGACACCGGCGCGGGGCCGACCCCCCGCGCTCCGGGCCCCTCCGGGATGGGAATTCCGCCCCGGGAGCGCCGGATCCGCCGTCCCCGCGGGCAGCGAGGCCGCCCCACCGCCCTCAGCACATTCAATGAACGTGCACAATCACCCTGGGCCTACTCCCGGCCACCACGCTCCCCCCCCATCCCGCGGCCCGCCCGCCGCCGGGAGCCCGGCGCGGTCCGGGCGCGGTGCCGCAGTGGTGCCCGCGGTCCCGGCCGGTACCTGCGCGCCGTGCAGGGCCATGGCGCCCCGCGTCCCCCGGGAGCTCGGCGGTCCCGGCCCCTCACGCCGCCGCCCCCGCCGCCGCCATCTTCTCCCTCGCACGCACCAGCCGGGCCGGGCGGGCGGGCGCGCGCCGCACCGCGCATGCGCCGTCCCCGCCCGCCCGCTGCGCGCGCACGGGGCGGGAGCTGAGGGCGCCCAGGGAAAAGGGCGGGAGGCGGCTCCGCCTCCCTGAGGGGAGCGAGGCGGGCGAGGAGCCCCGAGAGCTCCCCTGGAACCGCCCGGCGGGCATCCCGCCTGTGGGAGTCTGAGGGAGCGGAGGGGGTTTAGCCTAGGGGAGAGGAGGCTGAGAAAGGATCTGGTTAATGCATGTAAAATATCGCCAAGGTGGGTTCTGAAAGAATCATGGACGGAGCTTAAAGATCATCCGCTTCCACTCCCTGCCATGATCAGGGACGCCTTCTACTGTCCCAGCTTGCTCCGTGCCCTGTGCGGCCTGGCCTGGGACATTGCCAGGGATCCAGGGGCACCCTGTGCCAGCCTGGTGCCAGACCTTTTTCTGTGGTGCTCAACAACAGAACAAGCAGCGGTGGCCATAAACTAAACCACGAGAAGTTTCAGCTCAGTGTGAGAAGGAATTTCTGTCCGTGTAAGGTGGCAGAGCTCTGGAACAGCTGCTCAAGGAGGGCATGGGGTCTCTTCTGAGGGAGCCATTCTGACCCCACCTGGCCACGTTCCTGCTCCAGGTGTCCCTACCTTGGCAAAGTTGTTGGGCTGGGTGATCTCCAAAGATCCTTTCCAGCCCAAATAATTCTGTGATTCCTTGATTAAGTTGGAAAAACCTTCCAAGACCATTGAGTCCAACCTGTGACCAACCCCGACCTGGTCAGGCAGCCCAGTGTCACATCCAGGAATTCCTTGGACACCTCCAGGGATGGTGATTCCACCACCTCCCTGGACAGCCTGTTCCAATGTTTAATCACCCTTTCTGTGAAAAAATTCCTCCTGATGTCCAATTTTCTTCTGTAAAAGGGCACATGCACAAATCTTATTTGTCAGTCTGGTAGGTGACAGGTAAGGCTGTGTGCCCAGGTGATGCCAGAGTGTAGCTGTCCCACCTCTGTCCCAAATAACCAGGGTGGGAAAGGGTTCAGGGCTTTATCTAGGAAAAAAAAATAGGAATGACTAAGCCAATCTCATGATTTTGAGAGGATTGAGTCATAACAATACTGAAACCCCCAGGCAAGAATCCATCAAATTAATCGCTAATTTACTCCATATTTTTTTTTCCTTGCAACAAACTACCAAGTCCTGCAAAAGTCTAATTCAGCTCTGGATCCATAGCGAGTGATGGAGACAACTTTATATCAGTGAGAAAATTGAATAGAAGGAAGAGCACAGAAGAACTCGGTGTCTTTGGGAAAGTGGGGAGAAGATTCCTCCCCGTCTCCAGGACAAGGACACGTCCCTCCTGTTTTGTGAAGAGCAACACTTCCCGTGTGCTAATGACAGTAAATGATTTTCTCTATCAGCCTTCACCCTTCCAGCTGACACACCCAGCTGCCGCTCCCTCGCTTTTGTCTCTCCCCAGTGCTGCTGTGCTGTCCTGAGGCAGAGAACCAGCAGTGAAAATGGCTGGTTAATATTAAAGGGGAGAAACAAAAAAGGGAGACAAATGTTCAGGCTTTTTGCATACAGCATTTCAAACGTCTGAAAGCCCCTCTCCCCTCGGGACTCTAATTTACAAGGTAAATAATGGAGTGAAAACCCTTACGTGGCTCGTCTGGTTGAAAGCAAAATTCCCTTCTGCCCACAATGCTGCCTAAGTAAACTGACTGTTCCAAAATACAAATGAGCACAGTGTCTTCAGCCTGGAAAGCAGAAATTCAAATACCAAAAGTGCTAAAACCCAGAGCTGAGGGTGAAAACTGAGAAAGGATGTCACTGTTTCATTCAGCAATGTTTTAAACACGTTCGATTTTATCCCATCTTAGTATAGTTTAATTATAAAGTCTGTTAACGTTTTACCATAATATTTTCTAATAATCTAAGGGGTTTTTTGTAATACTGTGCTTTGATGAAACTTACCTGCTGCAAAGTTTCCACCTCGGTTCTGTTCCAATAATTTTTGCCTGTTATTTCATTACTGCTTTCATTGCACAAACCAGTTGTATCTTCTTACATTCTTTATGCCAGTGGCTGTGAATTATCCCTCCAAATCAACAAGTTGCTTTTCCAAATTAAAAAAAATAACCAGTGTTGTGTTTTTCTTTCTGCATATGCACATTCTTAAAATTCATGGAGCAATGTTCCCGACAACATGTGGATTTATCAAAACCAAACGAGGCTGTGGAAATAAAGGATTGTGTGACAGCAGCCCGGGAGCTGGATAAACCACTCCCAGGGTATCTGGCTCCGGGTGCTGCTGGAATTGCTCCTATCCTGCTGCAAATGCAAAGTGCTGGGGACTCCGTGGGACTTCACAAGGTCATGGGATCTGTGCTCATGTGACAGTGCCAGATGTGTACACACGGCTTCTGAAGGTGACTTTTGGGGAGCGGGAGCACTCAGGACCCTCACACCACCTTTTCAGGGACAGAGGGAATGCTGTAGCCCTTCAGGAGGTTTGGTGCTGTCCTTGTAGAGCTTCCTCCTGGTGCCAAGAGTTTCAGGAGCTCCCAGGACCTTTTCTCCAGAGATGCAGAACCTTTATCCCAACAGTTTCTAGGTCCAGTAAGGGCTTTGCCTACATGCAGTATTTGCAAGCCCTGGTTGGATCTCAGGGAGGGTCAGTTGCCTCATATTAAAACCAGGATATTTAAGTTTTCAGTAGAGAACCAGCCAGCTCTAGGTCACCATCAAAGATTGTACAATTATCGACCTTATCGACCTTGGTGATATTTTTTTAACTTTCTGAGCCCTAAATGTCCCAGGCCAGCAGCAGGCACTGGGAATGGGCAGAGGGAACCTGAGAGCAGAAGGGCAGGAATGGTTCTGCAGGTGGAAGAGTTTACACAGGTAACATGGGCAAACAGCAGCTATTTAATTCCAAAAATGGGTTAATGCAAACCTGACTTCAAATTCCATTGAAAAGGGGGAATTCCTAAATTTTCTGGACATTTCTAAAAAGATTTGCTGATGCAAAAAGCTGAAGCATGGACTAGGTCAAGCAGAAACACATTTGAAGTGTGGACAAGCCTTGAGCAGATCATGTGGATGCTTGACTCAGTGTTTCAATGATCTATGCAGAACTTCTGGCTAATTAATTGTGACTTATTCATCCTTATCTTAAATACAAGGTTCCCTCTTCTCATTCAACCATCTCTGTCAGTCCTGGAGCGTCAAAAGAACCAGCAAGTCTCCATCTCACCTTCCCCTCGTGTTCTGTCACCAAACCCATCATAAAACAAAGTTATATTTTTTTCCCAAAGCTACTCCAGGTTCCAGGAGGAACTAAAAGATGTGTGTAGCACCAACAACCCCGTGCCTGGCCTGTGTCCTCCTGTGTGGAATTACCAGGAAGGAGGAGGAAGCTATGAGTAGCTGAGCTGTGAGTAGCTGAGCTCTGACTCTCACAGTGTGGTGACAGAACCTCTCCATCTGCCCTGACCTGATCCCTGAGACACCCCAGAGCCACAAGTTCATGAAGGGATAATTAGCACTTCTCTCATTATTACATTCATGAGAACTGAAATAGCTCAAAAGCTGAAATAAAATAATATTTAAAGCCTGTCACGCCAGCTTTTATTTTTTTGTCTTACTGGTCAGAGCTTTGCTAAGACATACCAGCAAGGGAAGAATCACAATTCAAATCTGGGCTTGTTTTCTGCAAGTTAAATTGCCCTCAGAAAGAGCACTGGAGGTTGAATTATTTCTTTACATTCCCTAGACACACAACCCCTTTTTTTGCTGTCACGCAAGAATCCAGAATCCCAAACAGTGCCCAGAAAATCAGCAGTGTTTGGAAGAAACCCCTGAAAGCAGTCAGATTCTTACACACAAAGACACCAGCACATTTTTCTCAATTTAAAATATCAACTTGAGAACAAAAATATTTCCATCTTCTCTCTCAAGCCCTCAAAACAACTGCATCTCACACCAGGCTGGGATTGTTCCTCAGGGCGCCTCGAGGGATTTGTTATCCAACGTCAGAGTTGCAGCAGCAGCTCCTTGGCATGCCAGTGCCACCATGCAGGCATGGAAGTGTGGGAAGAGCAAACCTGAGGGTTCTGGTAGCTGCTTTGTTTCAGGTAAAACGAGCTTTCCTCAGAATTTGGCAATGGAAGCCTTTTTAGAAATGAGGCAGAGCAGTTGTGATTTTTCCCTGGGGCAGGAAGAAAGAGCTGTGCTTCCTGGCAAGAGTGAAACACTTCACAGAGCTTAGGGATGAAGGCAGTGGGATCTGCAGGTTCAGGAGCCAGGCTGAACCAAGAGAATGCACCTTTCCTCTGCCAACCCTCATTCCTCACCAAGAAGATTGTTCAGACCTCAAAAACCAGAGCAGAAATCCACTGGTGTCACACAAATTCTCCCTTTCATTTTTCAGGAATTCCAGCACGCCAGTTCCCAAAAGCTGAGCAGTGCTGGGGAGTGAGGGTGAGCTCCAAACTCCCTGTGCTGTCTGCTGACACTTCTGAGGGGTGATCAGCCACATCTGGATCCACAACATCCCAAATCCAGGGGGATCAGCCACATCTGGACCCACAACATCCCAAATCCAGGGGGATCAGCCACATCTGGACCCACAACATCCCAAATCTGGGGTGATCAGCCACATCTGGATCCACAGCATCCCAAATCCAGGGGGATCAGCCACACCTGGATCCACAACATCCCAAATCTGGGGTGATCAGCCACATCTGGACCCACAACATCCCAAATCCAGGGGTGATCGGCCATGTCTGGATCCACAGCATCCCAAATCTGGGGTGATCAGCCACATCTGGATCCACAGCATCCCAAATCCAGGGGGATCAGCCACACCTGGACCCACAACATCCCAAATCCAGGGGTGATCGGCCATGTCTGGATCCACAACATCCCAAATCTGGGGTGATCAGCCACATCTGGATCCACAATATCCCAAATGCAGGGGTGATCAGC